CAGCTCTTCGGGCTCGGCAAATGATGTGGGGCACAACCACTGGGCAGCTTTTCCTCCGGGAATTCCGCGAACAAGTGGTCGCCGATTATATGTGGTCGCCCCCCTTTTTGAAGGAGGTGCAAGACTTTGGGGTGGACTGCTTTCAGTTCGCCCTACAGAAGGCTGGCGAGCAGATCGCCGAGGATGATTTCGAGCAGATCGACCACATGGTTATTTGGGAGGCCTTGCCCAAGGTTCCTTCAAGTTTCCAGGGCGATCCTAGCTTACCTCTCGAGCATGAGTGGTGGTCAGGACTGCTCGAAAGGACTCTGGCTCGATCGGACATTCTAAAGAAGACTTATGCTCTGCCCTATGGCCTCACTCCTCCTGCCTCGATGCTGGCCGTGCTGACCGAGTCTATACGTCAACGTCCACTTAACGAAGCTTGTGACTCGACCTCCGGAACTGGCCATCCACTCGATCCCAACGCCCATCAGAGTAATGCCGACTCGACCGCTGCTCCTCCTCCTTAGATGTAGTTTTGTATTTTCCATATTGTCCGTTGTGAATTTGAGTTATGTATTCTAATGAACTATGTAATACTCGTGGAATAGTGGTATTTTGTCTTTGACTTTCCTTGATCTTCAATAATGTTTTTGATACGCTTTCATTAGCCAGTCCATTCGTCGTTATTTAAATGATGCTTGTGTGTTTGCCGCACGATTACATGAGTAGTTTAGTCGCACCATACACATACACATATGTCCACCCCTGGAGGTGGTCGTTACATACGACCATCCAGCCTTATGGCCTTAATCACGATGGGTTTTCCCCTTGAAACGCATGCCCACCCTCAAAGGGGTGGTCGTCACATACGACCATCCACCCTCATGCCCTTAGTCATGATGGATTTTTCCCTTTAAAACGCATGCCTACCCTCAAAGGGGTGGTCGTTACATACGACCATCCAGCCTCATGGCCTTAATCATGATGGATTTTCAACTTGAAATGCATGCCCACCCTCAAAGGGGTGGTCGTCACATACGACCATCCAGCCTCATGGCCTTAGTCATGATGGATTTTTCCCTTTAAAACGCATGCCCACCCTCAAAGGGGTGGTTGTTACATACGACCATCCAGCCTCATGGCCATAATCATGATGGATTTTTTTCCTTTAAAACGCATGCCCACCCTCAAAGGGGTGGTCGTTACATACGACCATCCAGCCTCATGGCCTTAATCATGATGGATTTTTTCCCTTGAAACGCATGCCCACCCTCAAAGGGGTGGTCGTTACATACGACCATCCAGCCTCATGGCCTTAATCATGATGGATTTTTTTCCCTTGAAACGCATGCCCACCCTCAAAGTGGTGGTCGTTATATACGACCATCCAGCCTCATGGCCTTAATCATGATGGATTTTTTCCTTTGAAACGCATGCCCACCCTCAAAGGGGTGGTCGTTACATACGACCATCCAGCCTCATGGCCTTAATCATGATGGATTTTTCGCATACAGCCTGTCATCAAGGTTAATCCAGGGATTCCGACTATATAAAGTTAATTCGGTAAACAGTAAATTGTAGAAACTTCAATAGACCATTTCATTCATCATCGAGCAAAGCATTTCATTACATTGGTGATAATGAGTAAAAAAGAAAAAAAAATTAAGCATAATATTTCTTTAAGTTAGCCACATTCCATGACCTGGCTAGAGATCTTCCTTCAGCATCCTTTAAAGAGTATGCCCCTCCAGCATGGACCTTTTCGACCAGGTATGGTCCTTCCCAGTTTGGCTCTAATTTCCCGACGTGTTTCAGCACATCGACTCTCTTCCACACCAAGTCACCCACTTGGAATTTTCGTGTTTTCACTTTTCTATCATGCGCTGCTCGCATCCTTTGTTTGTACGCCTCGACTCTGATTGTTGCCTTTCCTCGAAGCTCTTCGATTGTGTCGAGCGCTGCCATCATCAGATGTTCATTTTGTTCTCGATCATATGTGCTCGATCTTTGGGACTGAACCTCGACCTCTATCGGCAACAAAGCCTCCATGCCGTATACCATACTAAACGGTGTTTCCCCAGTGGTCGATCGGGGAGTTGTTCTGTACGCCCATAGCACCGAAGTAAGTTCATCCACCCATGCTCCCGATGCTTTCTCCAACCTTGTTTTCAGACCATTCAATATAATTCTGTTGGTCACTTCGACCTGCCCGTTAGCCTGCGGGTGTGCGATTGAAGCGAAATGTTGATCAATTTTCATGTCCTCGCACCATGCCCCAATCCGCTTGCCATTGAACTGGGTCCCGTTGTCCGACACTAACACTTTAGAAACTCCGAACCTGCAACATATGTTATCATATAGAAAATGTATCACTTTCTCCTCCGTGATTTTTGCCAGGGGTTCAGCCTCCACCCACTTCGTGAAGTAATCGACCGCGACAATCAAGAACTTCCTCTGTCCGGTTCCTTGGGGCATGGGCCCAACCAGGTCGATCCCCCATTGGGCGAACGGGATGGGAGAACTCATTGCTGTCATGGCTTCGGCCGGCTGGTGAATGAGTGGGCCGTGTTTCTGGCATTGCAAACATTTCCGCACCATCTCCTTGGCATCTTCTCTCATTGTTGGCCAGAAATATCCTGCTCTTAGAGCCTTTGCTACCAAGGAACCTGCCTTGCTATGGTCGCTGCAGCAGCCCTCGTGAATTTCCTTCAACACATATCGCTCTTCTTCTCCAGTTACACATCGCAAGTGGGGGCCCGCGTGCGACCTTTTGTAGAGAATCCCTCCATGCTCGCAAAATCTCCTTATCACTTTAACAGCTCTTTCCTTCAATTCTTTTATTATCGGTGCCCTCCAATCCTCGACTTCTTCTATCTCGACCACCTCCTTCTCGACCACACTCTTCTCCATGTGCAGCAAGGTCACACTTCTGCTCTTGCAGTCCACCAGACTTTGTGCCATTTTAGCTAACAGATCCGCTCGACCATTTTCTCCTCGAGGTATCTGGATTAATTCGAAAGAATCAAACTCTCCCTGCAGCTTCTTTATCTCCTCCACATACTTCATCATCCTTTCCTCCCGGACCTCGAACCCTTCCTGGAATTGACCCACCACCAATTGTGAGTCTGAATGCACCTGCACTGCTCGAGCTCCACCACTTAAGGCCAGTTTTAGTCCCTTAATGACCGCTTCGTATTCCGCTTCATTATTTGATATCTGGCAAGCCACCTTGATTGCGAACTCCAGGCTGTCACCTTTCGGTGACATAAGTACAATGCCTAGGCCACCTCCAGCCCTCGACACTGATCCATCTTCAAACACTTGCCACACCCTTTCAGACTCCTCGCTCTCCTTCGTCCCCTCTTGTATAAAGTCAGCCAGTGCCTGAGCCTTAATCGCCCTCCTTGGCTCGTAGATAATTGTGTATTCACTCAGCTCGACCGCCCATTTGACTAACCGCCCTGACACGGAGGGTCGACCCAGTGTTTCTCCCAATGGCATGTTCGTTCGGACCTTCACCCTATGTCCCAAGAAATATGGTCTCAGCTTCCTTACGGTGACCACCACTGCCAAGGCCCCTTTTTCAATCTCTGAGTACCTCCTCTCCGCCCGTTGCATCACCTTACTTGCGTAATAGATCGGAAATTGGGTTGTCCCTTCCTCCCGCAATAACACAGAGCTCACTGCCGTCTCACCAATGGATACATATAACACCAAGTCCTCCCCTTGCGCCGGTTTTGCCAATAGTGGTAGATCGACCAACATCCTCTTCACCTCCTCGAATGCTTTCTGGCTTCTTCTGTCCACTGGAATTTCGAGCTCTTCCTGAGTGTCTTAAATAGGGGCCCGCTTTTCTCAGCTACCTTAGAAATAAAACGGCTCAGGCCTGCTATTCGACCAGTTAAGATCTGCACCTCCTTCACCTTCGTGGGGGGCTGCATCTCGATCACCGCCCTTACCTTCTCCGGGTTGACCTCGATCCCTCTCTTCGTGACCATATAGCCCAAAACTTTTCCAGATTTGACCCCGAACGAGCACTTAGCGGGATTCAGCTTCATCCCATACTTCCGGAGGGTCATGAATGTTTCTTTTAAGTCGTTCACATGGTCAATTTCCTCTTTGCTCTTTACCAGCGTATCATCTACATATACTTCCATGTTCCTTCCCAACTGATCCTTAAAAATTTTATCCACCAACCTTTGATATGTCGTCCCTGCATTCTTTAGACCGAATGGCATCACCACATAGCAGTATGTTCCACGGCTTGTTACAAAGCTGACCCTTTTCCAATCCTCTCGAGCCAGCGGGATCTGATGATAACCCTGGGATGCGTCCATCAAACTGAGTAGCTCACACCCGGCTGTGGAGTCGACCAGCTGGTCGATCCTGGGAAGCAGATATAAATCCTTCGGGCATGCCTTGTTCAAATCTCGGAAATCTATACACATCCGCCATTTCCCCTCTGATTTCGAGACCATCACTGTGTTCGATAGCCACTCTGGGAACTGGATCTCCTTTATGTGACCTGCCACCAAGAGTTTTTCTACCTCCACTTCGATTACTTTATCCATCTCTGCCCCGTGGTGTCTCCTCTTTTGCTTCACCGGTCTTACCGTGAGGTCGATGTTCAACCGGTGCTCAATAACCTCGGCCTTGATGCCGGTCAACTCTTCCGTTGAGTATGCGAACACATCCGCAAAATCTCTTATCACCTTAATTAGCTTCGATTTCACCGGCTCCTCCAATTCCTTCCCGATCCGGAACTTCCTTTGTTCGCAACCCTCGACCATCTGTATCTCCTCCACTTCGCCACCTGGCTACATTTCGGCATTCTCCTTCCCTTTCTCTAGTTTATGTCTTTCCTCCTTCGACCTCGACCCTCCCGGTCGATTAACTTCCTCCCCCTTAGGATGCATCTGTTTCCTCGCTAGTTGCTTATTGTTGCTCACAGTGGTCTGGTAGCAGCTTCTCGAGGTAAGTTGATCCCCAGCGATCTCACCAACGTTTTCGCCCACCGGATATTTGATCGTCATGTGGTACGTGGATACGACCGCCTGGAACTCATTCAGGCTCGTTCTCCCCATTATGATGTTGTAGGATGACTCAGCTCCTACGACCACAAATCTTACCATTCGAACCTTCCGAGTTGCTCCCTTTCCCAGTGCTACCGATAGAGTCACCTCTCCCATTGGCATGACCTCCCCGCCATTGAAACCATACAAGGCCGTGGCCACCGGCTTCAGCTCCACATTCAACTCCCGATTGATTTGCACAAAGCAATCATAAAACATGACATCCACCGAACTCCCCGTGTCTATAAACACCCTTTTCACATCAAAACCTGCAACTTCGGCCGTAATTACCAAGGCATCATTGTGAGGCACCACCACCCCTGCTGCATCATCTGTCCGAAAACTGATTTCTGGCACCCAGGCCGTGATACTCACCTCTTCCCTCTTCCTTTTCATTGCTCGAACATGGCCTCTCCTCGCATTATTCGAGTCCCCGTCAGTCGGTCCTCCTAAAATCATATATATCGTACCTCTCTTTACTTGGCCTCCATCTCCTTCTCTTTCCCGCTCCCTACTTCTTCGCCTCCTCTTCCCCTCATCTCTTTTTCGACCATCTCGACCACCCCGTGCATCCTCATCATCATCTTCCTCGCTCCTCTCTACCGAGTCCTCCCGATACCTTCTCTTCTCCTTCCTCCTCCCCTTATCCTGATAGACAAACTCCTTGGGATGCCCTGCTCGAATAAGGCGCTCAATCTCGTTCTTGAGATGTCGACAATCCTCAGTAGTATGGCCATAGTCTTTGTGGAAGCGGCAATATCTCCTCGACTTCGGTTGGGTGGGCCCCTCGAACCTCGACCTTGGTCACGTCACATCTTTCCCATCTATCCCTTTCTCCATGGCCATCAGAACTTCAGCTACCTTCGCGTTCAATGGGGTGTAATCATGGAATCTCTTCCCTCCAGAGATAGGTCGGTCCTTCCACCTGTCCTCTCGCCCCCGATCCTGCTTAGCTCGCCCCTCCCTCCTGGGTGAGGCTTTTCTTTTAGGCGAAACTGCTTTCTCCTTCCTCGACTCCCCTCAACCTAGCTCTTCTAGTTTGGCAAACTCCGCCTCAGTCTCCTCGAGATTGATATATTTCCTACACCTCCTCAACACCTCATCATACGTGTGGGTAGGAGTCTTAGCAAGAGAAGTCCGACACGGTCCTGCCCGCAAACTCCTTATCAATCCTCCCGCCTTGACCTCGTCGACCGCCGATGGAATCTTCAAACAAGCCTGATTGTATCGAGCGACATATTTACGCAGTGACTCCTTCTCGCCTTCTCTCATTGCCATCAATGTCAAATACATTTTCTCCTGAGCCACCGCGCTCGAATGTTGATTTGTCAACTTCTCCGCAAAATCTTCGAAGTCCACTATCGAGCCTGGGGGAGCTGTTGGAACCAGTCGAGCGCCCCTCCCCTAAGGGTCGATAAAAAGGCCCTGCAACTAACGGGATCAGTATATCCGTGCAACACAGCCATATTTTCAAATGTCCTCACGTGTCTCAACGGATCAGAAGTCCCATCGAACACCAAGTTGGTATCCTTGTAATTATTTGGCAAGGGTGCTGCTAGTATGTCCGCCGAGAATGGGTGTCCTCGAGCGCGTCTTTCTGCTCGACCATCCACCTTAGCCTGCAATTGGCGCAGCTGTTCCGCCATCCTCTCCATCTCCCAGTCATGTGTGGGCCCGCCTCCACCATAGCTGGATTCATCCTCCTCCGCGTTTTGGCGTGACCCTGCAATAGTGTTCGGCGTTGCCGTTGCCCGGGAGAGACTGTTTGTGACTTGCTGAACTGCTTGCGCGGCTGCGTCCGCCACCATTTGTTGCATCTCCTGCCTGGTCATTATCACCTGCTGGTCGGGGACCTGAACCGCTGCTCGCGGCGGTGCTCCTCCATGGGCCACCGCTCTTTCTGGTTGCATCCCCGTTCCTCCCGGTTGCGCCACCGTCGCTCCCAGTTGCACTCCCACTCCTCCTGGTTGTGCTGCCGTTGAGCTGTGTGGTGGTGGTGGTGGCATCGCTGCTGCATCCGCTGCGCGGGCCTCGTGAGCACAGTTGGAGCCAGCGTCTCCTCCGGGAATCGCCGTTGCCACTCCCACACCTTGGAGCACAGGTACGGGAGTGATCAGCGTCTGTGATGGGCCAGAAAAACCCGGAAAAGGACCCTGTCCCAAAGGCCTGGTCATTGTCCAAGCATCATCGAACATTGACTGTAAGTTTTTGGGAATTCCGTCCGCCATAGCTGAGCTTCAAGCACACCTTTTCAAATGAAAGTCCCACAGACGGCGCCAAATGGTAGCACAAAACTTCTCGACCGGCCGGAACTTGAGTAATCGCCTTCCTTCTCACCGGTTGAACGTCGTGCACCTACAAAGAACTCTCACACCGGAGGGGTTTTCCGGTGAAGAGCCTCCAAAGCTTAAGTCAGTGTATGTTCAATCAATTCTCAAGAGTAAGTAGTAGAATGATCGTGTTGAAGAAGAAAAGCTCACCCCCTTTATATAGGGGTGAGATACCTGACCTAGGGCTGCCCGAATTTGATGAGTTGTCTGCCCTAACTGCCCGTCCGTACATACCAAACGCGTGTGTCAGAGGTAGCCGTCGCCATTATCGCCTGCACCAATCCTCTTTGGACGCCGTGTCCTCCTGCACATGGGGTAGGCTGTCAGAGGTGGTTATCGCTATCCACCACTGCCTTCTCGACACGTGTCCCCCTGCACATGGGATAAATATTCCCCTGGAATTCCGTTAGAGGCTCTCTCACGCGCCTGTGACTAGGCCGATTGACGTGGTGTTAAGTCCTGGTCGAAGGATAGTTTGGTCGACAGCTTTACTTGGTTGACTGGTTAACTGCTCGATTTTCTTGACTTCCCAATGATACGACCTCCTCGACCGGTCAATAGACCAGTTCAGCTTAATGGGTATGATATCCCATATCAGACGTATTAAGCCACCGCTTCAAAGTAGCGTGGGAACTCTCCACCCTACACGACGTTGTGTTGCCAAAAAGTAAGACAGTGTCCGTCCATACTTTGACAAAATTTTTCCTGTGCACTAATCATGTCTTATCCACATATTCCAGCATATGAGGAAACGACACGTATGTAATATCATATCAGCTACGACAACTTGGTATTTGTCCAACGTGCTCGCCTCGACAACCTTCTTCCACTTGTTGTGCGTGAATTTTTGCGCGAAGATCTTATTTCGTCGTTATTCAATACTCTGTCTTCCACATCCTTGTTGACTGGCCACGTGTAGAGTAAGTGGGGCGACTCTGGGAAATTCTTCTGAATAGGAGTAATCAACCCCAACTCCCTTTCGCTGACAATGACTGAAGGATTACATCAGGCCCTATCAGAAGTCTCAACTGATGTAGGATCCAGTCATAGCTGTACTCGGTCTCGTCCTTGATAATTGCATAAGCAATTAAGAACTTCTTGTTGCACGGCGTCATTCCAACCATCTCAACCAACGACATATGGTACCTGTGCAAATGAAAGCAACAATAGGAAAAAACATAGAATAAAAAAACTTACTCAAATATACTAATTAAGATTCACATTAAATTGCTATTTATGAAGTGATGTAACATACTTGTTGGTTTTGTACGTGGAATCTATACTGACATACCAGTAATATGTCCGGAATAGACTGGCTGCTTGTGGATGCGACATGAACACACATGTCAACGTCGGTGTGTCCGGATCAACATCTGTGTAAACTATGTAGTTTTTGGTTGTAGCAAATGCAGAAGCTGACCAGCCACATCTCTACCCTCCAGACTGTCTCTTCGCAATTTAACTTTAAAGCTATACACTTGTCGGCGAGTAGCGTTGTCCATAGGGTTTTTCTCCGGAATCATAGCCAAAATTGCTACTGGTTTTGCCTGAGCAGCACTTATATCACGGACAATCTCTTTGCATAAATCGTTGATTCCACTCATCTGTCGATGACTCTCGGGATGCACAACCAACGCATGATCATGTGTTCCCTTCTCGTCATTGAAAGGAAGCCAGATACACCATTTTGGGGGTTTTGCTTCAAATTTGAATTTTATCATAAAAAGGCATCCAGTCGCTTCAGTCTTCGAACGTCTCAAAACAGCATTCACAAAATTTTCTTGTTTCCTGCGCTGCCTCTGTAACGTTCCCCTCGATGACACCTCAACGTCCGAACCATTCCATCTTTTTCGTGTCTCGAGATGACGAATTCGAAACCCTATATCAGTGCAATGTTTTTGCCAATTCAATATCTTCGTCACAACTATCAAATAGGTTATCTGTAGCGAAAGAACATCGGTAATCTTCACCGTCTCCTCCAAAATCTTCGAGTGGCAACTGCAATATTTTACGCTGTATGTTAATAATTTTACAAAATAATGAATTATAACTTCTCTCAAAATAATAACACTTATTTGTAATTGATTATATAATCAATTTTAACTTCTAACGTAATATCAATAAATTTTATTCATAAATTAATCTAACACAATATTAATAAGTTAATTAACTTATAACATAATATCAATAAATTTTATTTTATAAGATAATCCATAATTTAATTTTATACTATTAATTTATAATAATTATACTAAATATACTAATATATACTAATATAGTAGTTAGTATTTAGTATAATTGTACATTAATGTATACTAAATATACTAATATATACTAATATAATAATTATTTTTATATACTAATATATACTAATATAATAGTTAGTATTTAGTATATTGTACTAATAATTATATTAATTATTGTATTAGTATAAAATATTTCTATTAATTTTACTAATTATTAATAGAATTTTTTATATATTTTTTTATAAATTATATTATTATGTAAAAAATTATATTACTAGTTACTATTATAATTTACAATAATTATACTAATTACTATTATATTAAATAATTTTTATTATTAATATATATTTATTACAATTTTTTATTAATTAAAAAATATATAAAATATTAATATAATTTTATTATTAGTATAATATTATATATTTTAATTTAAACATTTTTAATTAAAAAAACCACAAAAAAAAAAACAAAAAACAAATCGGCCGCGCGCGGCCGCAAATGGAACGAGCGGTCACCTGCGGCCGCAATGTGTGACACCGGCCGCAGGCCAAAATAGCGGCCAAATGAGTGGTGGCCGCGATCGTTCGCCATCCCAACTGTTTGTCGCTGCAATGGCCGGTCGACACGCTCGATTGCGGCCGCAGTTGTCGGCCGGCCGGCCGACATATTTTTTCTTTAAATCGTTAAAGTTGTAAAAAAAAAAATACTTGTGAATTGGAGAGCCCTTTCCCCTTGCTTGAGGATTGTCCCGACATTTTTTTCGAATTTTTTCCCTTTTTTTTGGATTTTTTATTTACTTTGTGTTTTTTTTTAATGTGAGAGTGAAGAGAGAAGGGAAAGGGGGGCGGACGGGTTTTTGGATTTTTTTTTTAATTAGTAAGGGTAAAATAGTATTTTCTGGGCGCGGTATTTAATAATAATGGGTGCGGTAAATAACAACACTCATAATTTTTTGAGCTACCAACTATGTAGCGTCCCGTTTCTTTAATAAAAAACATAGCTCGTATTGTATTCATTTAAGCTCGAGTAATATAATCTTGGAATTAAATTCTAAACCATAATGTATCATATATATATATATATATATATATATATATATATATATATATATATAACTGCTAGCAAAGCAATTAATAAAACTCTTTTTATTTTCCCGCTTTTTCTGGTACTTTTGCCTTAATCAAAATTATACTTTTTATTTATTTTATTATGGAATTGCTACTATTAACTAATAATGAAGACATATTAAATAATAATGAAGACATATTAAATGTTATTCTATTCTAGAGCTTTTTTAAACTATATATTTAAATTTATTGTTTCTTTTTTTTTCACCTCATTAAGCAAGTTTTTTTATTAAATTAGTTAATTATTTTTTTGGCATAACCAAACCTTTAAAGTTTTGTACACAATTTCTATAATAATAATCTTAATATTTTTTCATTCAATTAATTGGCATAATCAACCAAGATTGTGAACCATGTAGGAGAAATGTTGAGTTCACAACTATTAAATTAAAAAATCATATCCAATGCACAATGTTGCCTAATTACAATATTATTTACTTGCCAAATAATATAATTTTAATATGAATTAATAAAATTAATTAAATAATTAAATGATTTGAAAATGGTAATAATAATTCTCTCTCTTCTCCTCATTGGCTAACTAGAGTGTGAGTAGAATGTGGATGAACCACATTCTTGATGAGAACACGACAAGAAGGCTGAAGAATGCGGCGACCCGCGCTTATCATGCACGGCGGAGGTTAAGCCGCCGGGCTGCCGAAGCCCAACTCGTTAGTGGGCATGCGCGCGCAAGCGGTGACGCGCGCAAGAATTTTGACCAAGTACGCGATAGCGCGAGTACGGCCAAGGGGATTCACGCGCGAGCATCCCTAACCGCGCAAGGAAAAGGCGAAGCGGATGACGTGGGCGGGAGTCCGGCACGCGCACAATGGCGGCTAGGGTTGGGCAATGCAAAGCGGATTCCATAGATTAGAATCCTTTTCTTTCCTTAATTCCTAGTATGGTAGGATATCTTATGTTTATTGCTTTCCTAGTTTATGTAGATTAGCCTTAGTGGAGTAGAATTAGATCTTTATTTGAGCTTTATAAATAGGCGCGAGCATTGTTACTTAGAATTAATTGATTCTTCTTAATACAAAAAATCCGAACTCTTTGTTCAAACACTTTGCGTAGATTCCTTGAGTTCTATTGCAAATTTACTTGTTTTGAAGGACTGTGGACGCGGATCTTCGAGACCCTATCTCGATTTAAGGCACTCGTGTGGCTTATCGAAAGGCCGAACACATGATCTTCATCATTGGTGCTTTCATTGAGAGGTGTTTGATCGTGTGTTCTTCTTCCTCCTGATTCTAATTTTAATTTTCTTTGTTTAATCTTTCTTCGTTCAAAAAAAAAAAAAGAAAAAGA